TTCCAATCTGTTATTCACAGTTTCCCCTACTCTCAGCCACTTTTCAGCTTGATCGCATATAATTGTTATTTTTTATTTCATGATGTGATTCAATCTGATCAACTAATATATAAACTAGTTCTATCTTAAATATAATTACAAACTTGAACTGGTGATCATTAGTCTTGTGTTCATCATCTTCGTTCGGAGCTAGTTAGTACTGAGCCAGCCATTATGCACAGAGTATCAATTTTCTCGTCTTTGCTGTTTATTGGTTACTGGAACATAACACCTTGATTTCGATTACATATGTAATTACAGGTACGTCAGATAAGGAGCATATGATAAAAACAACCATTCATCCCTCTATAGTTTCTTGTAGTTCTCTCAATAAAAATCCAACAACAACAAAAAACACCATGTATATTGAATAGTTAATGAATAATAAATTATCTTTCATTTAACTTAGTTCATCTTAGCACTAATATCATTTACCATTGAAATTTCTAATTGATTTTCACATTAGCAATACTTTATATAGATCCAGTATATCCCCTTTATAGAATAAACTTTAATGATACCATTATAGATTAACTTTGAAACTAAGTTATGTATACAAACTGTGATTACAAACAATCATAAAGATTTGAGTACACGTTTTTTCTTCAATAAAAAGAAGTGAAAATATGTTTAATTGGAAGAAGATTTATGAATTTAACTAGTCAGCCATACTACCAATGGTTATGATATTATCACTATGTGGAATTTAAAACAATAACAGTTAATTAACACCGAAAATATATTCTTTCTTTTATTCATAAGGATACATGATAATAACATTGAAGAATTTCAAAGTAATATACTATCAACTCATTAATCATCATTCATTCAATTAATCAACGAAACTACTTAAATTAAGATGAAAATTTCTTTTTAAAAACACACATATCACTGGGTTATGAATAATGAATAATTTGAATTGAAAATTTAAGACAGTAAATTGATCTTTATTTGACAATAAGCAATTCTTCAAAGTGTACTTGTCTATTCTTGTATTAACTATTAATATTACTATGAAGTTATAAACAAAGATAGATAGTGACTAACAGTGAAAAACAGGACGCACGTTTCGTCCTATTTGTGCTTTGTCAGCTAGATGTACCTACAGTTCAGAGTTGGTATTCACTCTATGACTCGAACCCAGTACCGTTCACTTCGAATACCATCGAGTTATCCATTTGACTACTCAGTCTCAAAGTGAACATCAAATCTGAGATTCAGGTGCATTCAACTGATGAGTCCTACATAGGACGAAACTCGCGTCTTGGATTCCACTGCTAGCCATTAGCCATCTTTTCTTAGAATGCATGTGAATTAAGGCAATATGCACAGGATGTACATATACCAATAGGAGACTGATCAATTGCAGTTCTAAACATCAATGGAAAGATTCAATTCAACCATACCAAGTGAATTACTATGAAATTAGTTTATCATTTAATAATGAAATCTAGACTTAATCAGTTTGTGGATTGTATTTAAATTATGAATATTATTGATATAGAAATACCACTATATCATAATCGACAGATGTAAATAGTTTCATTATTAAAATAAATTACAATCCATGATAAGATAATCAATCACTTTGAAAAGATATAGGGCTTAAAAAACAACATTTTGTGAAGTGTAAAATGTAAAAAGAATGTTAAGAAATAGTTGGTTTAAATCAAACAGTGATTTTTTTATATTAATTGAATTGAAATCAGCATGAATACAAAAATTCTTAATTATTGTTAAATGTAGTTCTTGAAATCATGAGTCAATTGAAACTAGACTACCATGGAAAACCTGGAAGCACTGGACGGCTATTTCGTAATGGTATGGGACTTCTTAGTAGTGCGCATCCACCATCGCACCTCACCAGATTTGAACCAAAGCCCTATCGGTCTCGCATGCGTGAACGCTTAACCTGTAGACTACTGAGCTGGCACCCAACGATTTTAATGTCTAAAATCAATCAATTGACAAAATTTCGTCACCGCCCACCATTGTCTTCAATGAGTTACTATCTCACATGAGAGATGATTTCGTGAAACATTCAGTTAAGTTCGAAAAGGATTATGACTGGAAATTAACATTGGTGAGTGAACAATTGGAAACTAAGGAACTCTGAATAAAGTTTATCCACAACGGTTTTCATCATGGTTCTAAATGACTTTAGAATCAAAATCGGTGTATTTCTCAGCAAATACCCAATTAATAGATCATTAAGTCAAATTCCAGTCGAGCATTTCAGCGAATTTCAAACTTTCTTTTTAATTCATTTGTTTGATTTCTGCATCTTACAAACCTTTTTTTCTGTCCTTCTAAACCAACTTAAGTTTTGAGTTTATATTCAACAGATTTCTTACAGACGTAACACAGTTGAGTGATTTTGTTTGATTTCTTTAAAATTACACTACGGTACAGTATTTTCATACGCCTTTATAGCAAGTATTTATAAGTTTTATTCAGAATAAACATCAATTCTTTGTATTTGAATACCGAAACTTTTGTACATACTGCCCATCTCATCTTAACATTACTAATACAACTCAGTGACATAACAAACTGTTATAGCCCAAAGCCGCTAATCAGAAGCAGCGAATTATCGATCAGACCAAGGACGCGTAAAACATGTGAGAGCAATCCAGAGTACGTATCGGTCCTGTTTCCTGCCTAGCCCAGTCATTTAAGTCCAGAACACCAATCTCAGCCTCTGCAATATGAATCATTCATTTCAAACAAACTGAGTTTATAAATCAACCAGACAGACCACAAGGTAACATGAAATAGAAAATAGCATTTGTACAAAATTAGGCCAAATGTGGCTGTGAATGTAGGAGGCAGTGACTAATAGACAGGGCATAATTCAAGAATGGTAAGACGTACAATAATGGTTCATAGGTCAAAATAAAATTTATAATAAGACGAATATGAATAGTTTAGATATTTAACAATTATAGGATAAAAATATACGCATAGTATTGGTCTATAAAAGGATCCCAGAGTTGCCATTCATTATGCTTTTCGGGACCTAACACAATCTAATATATGTATACACAGATACATTTCGTTACATATAATTTACATAGTCAAAATTGTATCGAGTTACTAACGGTTGGATCCAGACACTTTTTATTAACAATTTATGTACTAGAAAATAATTACCATAGTTCGTATCAATACCCAGATTGGACTTGATGGTTTCAAATTAATTAAACATTGGGTAAACAGTTAATAATGAATATATTTTTGTTATATCTAAATGAGTAGAAAAATTGTATTTCTGATATTTCATAACTTAATGTAAACTACTTCTTCAGAGTAAATATATAATGCGTCACTCATTTACTCTGAAGAAGTGGCTTACATTAAGTTATGAAACACTACAATTTTCTTGCTCATTGAGATATAACAAAAGTATATTTATTATTAATCACTATAATTACTTCAAATAACTTAATTATGTACTACATACAAAAACACTCAAATGACTTATGGATTTTCTATCAACTAAAGTGCCTCCAGGTTTTCCATGGTGGCCTTGCTTCGATTGATTCATGATTTTAACCAGTGAAATCTCCGCGAAACCCATTCTGATAATAATCACTTACTCACTAGTGGCTGACTTCAGGAGACACTCCTGGAGTTCTAGTGAGAAGTCGTTACCAGTGGAGTTCAACCAGGTCTGTTGTGAGATATCAACTCACTGATAACAATGGTGGGCGGTGACGCAATTTTGTCAATTGGTTGATGTTAGACATTAAAATCGTTGGGTGCCAGCTCAGTAGTCTACAGGTTAAGCGTTCACGCATGCGAGACCAACAGGGCTTTGGTTCAAATCTGGTGAGGTGCGATGGTGGATGCGCACTACTAAGAAGTCCCATACTAGTACGAAATAGCCGTCCAGTGCTTCCAGGTTTTCCATGGTAGTCTAGCTTCAATTGATTCATGACTTCAACCAGTGAAATTTCTTAAGATCTCTAAGAAACCCATTCTGATAATAAAGTGGATCTCTTTTTTGTTACTTGTAGTTTAAAAAAAGTTACTATCGAAATAATTGATTATTTCACTATATATTTTATTTGAATACAAACAATTCAATGTCGAAAATTGAATTGTTTATTCTGTATACAATTCAATTTTGATAATTATGCAATAATTGAATAAGTTCTCTGAAATGTAATCTATCTTAAGATGCATTTAAGAATTGTTGAATTCAAAAGCATTTTTTGTTTAAAACTATAGTCAGCTTGATGATAACAAAAACCAGTACCCATTAAAAACTCGTCTTCGCTAAGGCAGTGAGTACTCACCATATCATATAGGATATAATCAATGATCTTCAAGTCTTTTAAAATGAGCATGAAACATTTAACCTACTTAGTTATACTGAAAAAAATTCTGGGAATTTTCAGCTTAGAAAGATGATTTGTATTGAGTTGAGTTCTTTCAGTCATATTGTTTAATTCTGTAAGCTTTCAAGATCAAACTCGATCAGAATCAAATTTCATTTAGTCATATATCTAAGATTTTAACTTATAAAAAAAGCTTATATTAGATTAGACTCCTCAGTAGTACACATACACGATCCCGCCCACCGCGAGATTCGAACCCAGGACCTACCAGTCTCATGCCAGGCGCTTAACCAATTAGACCACTGAGCCGGCATTCAACGGTGTTAATGTCTAACTTTAACAAATCCACGAAGTTGCGCCAGCGAAATTTTTAAAAATTTCCACAAAACCCATTCTGATAATTATTTTAGATCAACTTCTTAGTTATAAAAAACAAACGAGAGAATGTATAAAGTGAAGTTTAATATAAAATGAACCTAAGTAAACTTTATATTGAATAGATAGATAATTAATGAAATATTTGAATAAAGTAAAATGTTAAAATATTTTCAATGCAAAATATTAAAAATTAATTAAACATTAAAAAAAATTTATTACTGAATAATAAGATGAACTTACTGTCAGTAGTATATAACGAGTAGACATTTTCTATTTGATGTTAACCTTTGATATTTTTGTTTCTTTGAATCGTTTCGTTATAAATTTGAATATTAATTAAATATTTTATTAATGGAACATTTAGTCTATAAATATAAATAAAACAATAAATTAATAAATGAAAAAAAGAAAAGAAAAAAGAATGAACGAAAGAAAAGATGAATGTTTATAGTGTAATGCATTCACATGATCAAATTTATAAACTACTTAAATGATATATTTAAACTACTTAAATCAGTTTCATATATGAATATATATATAGAAAGTTAATTTAATTAAATAATTAAATTAAGATTAAACAACCATATAAATTATGATTATTAATAGTAGTAATAACAATAATTAATTTTTTTTTGTTTTTCGTTAGTTAAATGAATCATTAATGTAAATGTTTAATATGTAGAATAAATTCAATTTCAATGAAAGAGAAAGAGAAAAAGAAAGAAAAAAGTACTTTTCTCTATTGAATGAACTTCATTGTCATTTAATAATTGAATTCATGAATCAATTGTAGCTAGACCATTATGGAAAATCTGGAAGCATTTCGATGAAGAAGAAATTTAAAAAAAATAAAAGATATTTGAAATAATCTCATGTAATGCAAATTGCCTAGAAGTATGAAATGAAAGTGATTGAATTTTTGAATATATGTTTAAGAATATATTACTACTATTGAAGCTTGATAATCTCTAGTGAAATATTCATTGTACACTGTTTATATAGTCTAAATTTGGATAATTAAAAAGAGCTAAATAATATTGTGGTATGTGCTACTGATGTCAATAGATATAAGTAGTATATATCACCAATCAAAAGTCACATGCCTGGAAGCAGATATTCATCAATAACAAAGAAAAACAGAACGAGAGCAAACAATGATTGATGTAAAAATGAAGGAACAATCAACTCTGAGACGATTGTTCGACATTTTGCAAATGAAATATTTACTCTGTCGTTCTCAAATTTTACTAAGATATACTGTAATTTTGTGTTCAAGTATATTCGATTGTCTCCTCTTGTCTTCTCATTCACTACAATACTCTCAGATTTCCAATGATTCTCTAAATTATATTATTCTATCATACAATCTGTATTGTGTTATTAAAAAAGAAAGTATACTCTATTTACATGGATTCACATATATTTGTTTATTAAATCATACAGAGAATGTATTACTGAATATGTTTCAGTAAATGAAATGCTACAAATCATTGGACTAAAAGAAAGGATAATATTTGAGTTATTGTTATTAGTTATTTATTTCAGCATATAAATATTGGTACGAAGGGGCACCGAATTCATGTGCGCCACATAAATCATGTGATTTCTGTGTGGGTTATGATACTGCCCGGATGCTCAAACTGAAGTAGGTGGTTTTCTTAGGGGCCACAGTCATAGTATTTGACCTTAAGGTCTGCCCCACAAGAGAGTGGAGCAACGTCAGGAGATGCAGTCCTATGGTAGCCGATAGCCAATAATTGGTTCATACGCTATTTGTTCCTTCAGGATACTGGAGTCCATGTGCATCATTGGTTTGGAATCAGGGTTTCCCGATTCCCTTAGATGTACTCACCGTATCCACCAACCGGTTAAAGAGCCGGATATTCGCTTTTCGTCCTTCTCAATTTCGTTAACAACATCCCTTCCGCGAGAAGACAGCGAGTACGACTTCCTTGACAGTGGCTGTATACACGTGGCCATGTGAGAGCATTTCGAGAAGGAGAGTGGACTCTCCTCACTCTCAGTCGTACCAAGGCATTCGAGGGAATGTTTAAAATGAAAACAATTTACTAGTTCTAGTAATAACTAAAAGTAGTTATTAGATGAAAATTAGTTCATCATTAAACATTTAAGTATAAAGTATATTGAATGAAAATATAATAAACTAATTTCTTCTATAAACATTATTTTTGGGGAAAATAATAGATTAACAACTGCAAACGAACATAAATGTAACTATTAATAAGCTCCATAAAGTTAATTCTAGAGAATTGCTAAAATAAAAGATAGTTTTTTTAGAAATTTAAAACACTATATCTCTGTAAGACAACTTATAAAGATGGTCAATCTTTCAGTGACTCAACTGGCACTTTTTTCCCTAGGATTACAGAAAACTAAGTTCAATACCGAGACACTAAAATGTTTTGATTATTTCATGAATTCGACAATTGATTCTCGGTAGAAATGAACAAGTTATGAACAGACCTATTTACGTAACAACCGAAATCCTTTTAATACAATCGTAAGCAGCAATTTTATTGTATACAAAAATTCATAAACGATTATTCGGAGTCATTTTCAACTTCAGATGAATTGACTGCTTCTCCAGCTTTTTTTCAATCGACATAGACTAACCATGTCATATGATCCTTTATCAAGAATCCCGCATGTCTGAATCGAATCCAAGACCTTCGGTTTTTAGGATCGAAGATGCGCATTGCCGAGGAGTATAATACTAAATCGAAATGATAGCTCAATATTTCTAGGTTTTCAATTATGGTCTAATATTGATCGGTTTATGTTCTCAATAGAAATTCAACAATTCCCACAACCCTATATTGATAATTGGTAATTAACTTTGCCAATTAATATTTACAAATAAATGACTAACTTTCATAGTATCTAAGCCAATTTACTCTTATTCTGCATAAAATGTCAGTTTGAAACCATCGGATTTAAACAAGAGCAATAAAACCTATTTAAGTTTCTACTCAAATAATCAATCAGATAATAACATGAAAAATATCTAGTTGTCAAAACAAGATCGCCAAAAAGTTTCTATATTTGAATCATTGAAGTTTCATAAATAATGAGTTTTGTTTATTTAGGAATGGTAGATTTAAAATTTACTTTTCTGTATTAAAAAAAACTGTTTTTCTATATTGTTACTTGTTAAAAATGTGATTGACTAAATAAAGATCTTTCATATATGTTTAGTTTATTATATCCGAAATTCTGATACCTTCATGTATGACAATATCATTAATATATACTTAATAAAATTATTAACCGTATACTGCAATTTCTACATGAATATATTATAACTATTTTTGTAATGGGTAAGTTCAAACAATCTGATGTCTCCTGTTTATACTTTGTAGTCATAGTAACCAGATGATAAATATATTGTACATCATAATATATTGAATATTATTAACTACTGAAATAATTGAATTTATAACTGAACAATTAATTAAATCATCCAAAGTATTCAACTATTAGTTTTAACATTATATAAGTATAAGCATACTAAAATAGGAAATAAGTAACTTACCTTGAAAGGGTGTGTATATATACGTAAGTGAACAACTTGATGTCACTCAGTAAAAAAATAATTATGTTACAGCTCAGAAACAAAAATTAAAGTCTGTAGAAATAAATCGATGTCGACCACCTATATCTGGTGCTTAAACTCAACTGTCAATTTAGTTTCAAAGTAATACTGAAACCTTTCTCGGAATTACAATCTTTTAAAATAATAATGATTATAAGTTTAATTAGATTATATATATAAGTGATCCAAAATAAGTTGATTAAATTACTTTATCAACTGTAACAATATCGAAGGTGTATATTCATAATCACTCAATCACAATCATACCGTTATTAATATAATAATATGGAATAATTGAATAAGACTGTAGATTAATTGTGCAGTACAGCTATGTTTGAACTACACTTTGAATACTACTCATGTTACTTATTTCAATTAACTTACAGTTAAATATGATTTTCTTTCTCTCGTTATGAACTATTCATTAAATCACGGTGATATTAATTAATCATAGTAATCCTAATATACTAAACTATTTACAATATATTATACATGCATAGATAGATAGATACAATGATTTTAATCTCCATAGTGCATTGGCAATATTCCTTACAAATTATGAATACTATATAGACACCTTTAAAGTTATTTGTTTACAATAAATATTAATATTATCATTATTTAATTTATATTACAATCAATGTAATCCAGATGTACTCACTGACATTGTTTTACATTTATTCAAATAGGAATGTATATCCATCCAAATCAGTATTACAAGGATTATGTTACAATCTAATTGAAAATTTGGTGGTTATACAAGTTGTACATTTTCTTCGATAATTTCCCTTAAAAAAAGCTTCGATCAAATTACCAGGCAAAACATTGAATATACTTCAAATTCATTCACTGAGATTTAACAAATTCATTCTTCCTCTTTAATTACTATTTAATCATTTAAAATTATTAAGTAAGTAACAAACGGTAAAATAAACACCAAACAAGAATAATAACTAAACAAGAATATTTTTCATAAAGGGACACCTATTAGCTACTGAAATAATACTTAACGATATATAATGTCTACTTGAATTAATTTGTGAAAATACCCAATAAACATTAAACTTTATCATGAATAGAGAACCAAATCAACTTTTATATGCTTGAAATTAAATGTAAACAAATAAATATCAATAAAGTTAGTTTATAACCAAGGGCACTTTTAATTTTTAATTATTTTTCTGGTTAGCGTTTTTGATGGGGTTTTGTTCTCTGAGCTGGATGGTTTGGTTGTGGAGCTTTCATCGTTCTTCTGACCGACATCATCTGACGTCTGTGCTGATGATGTCGTTCAGAAGAATGATGAAAGCTCCACGACCAAACCATCCAGCTCAGAGAACAAAACCCCATCAAAATCATCCATCTGAGCAACAAATTTTCTCCACCATCTCATATTATATGGTTAGCGTTTTATTATAAACCAATTAGTATTCTACGAGATGAAATCGCTAATCCAATGCCCAACTTGACAGTAGCTCAAGAGGGGCTTCAGGTGGAGTTAACCGATGAAATTCAGTATTCAATATTGATTTAATCAATATGAATTATAACTAACTATTTTTTTATTTAAAAAGTATTAACAATAGAGATCAATATATGTATTGAATACACTTAAATCAAATGGGTATATTGTATGATCTAGAAATTAATTAAA